ATGAAATTTGCAGGCAAATGGATGGAACTAGAAAATATCATCCTGAGTGAGGTAACCCAAACCCAGAAAGACAGTTATGGTATGTACTCACTCATTGGTGGATTCTAGATATAAAATAAACAATCAGACCACAACCCATAAAAAAAAAAAAAAAAAAAAAAAGTTTTGAACAGTATGGGAGAAATATGATTTATAAATTTTGTTTGTACCTTCATTCAATCACATGAACTACTGAAAAGTATTACCATGAAGTGAAGACATAGCTCAGTGGTAAAGTCCCCATTGGTCACCCTGGAGAACAAGTGTAACTTGTCCAAGGTTCAATCCCCAGTACTGGAAGAGAGGAATATATATATATAGAGAGAGAGAGAGAGCTGGGGATATGTTTAGGCTGGTAGAGTGCTCTACTATAAAGCCTGGGTTCAGTCCTCAGCACTCAGGATGGGGAGGCCTAAGGATCAGAAGTTTAACGTCATTGTTATCTACATAACAAGCCTGGGATTTTATTTTCTCTAAGTTAATGAAAATTTAGGGAAAAACAATAAAGTGAAATGCTGAGAAGATACTTCAGTCTACTGGCAAACATGAGAATCTGAGTTTGGATCCCCAGCACCCTGGGACAACCCCCATGCTAGAGGGAGGAGGAGGCAGACGCTCCCTGGAATAAACTAGTCTACCGGTCTAGCCAGTTGGTAAGCTCCCAGGTTCAGTGAGAGACCCTGTCTGGAAAAATAATGTGGACAGTGATAGAGTAAGACACCCACCTTTTGAGCTCTGGCTTCCACATACACACGTACACGAGTGCACAAGTGTACACACCCACAAAAACAGATAGATACCACACAGAGAGAAACACCAAAAAAGTTTTAAAGGATTCCTTTGTATTGTTTTGGTTTCATAAGCGGGGCTGCTGTTGCTACTGTGTGTGTGTGTGTGTGTGTGTGTGTGTGTGTGTGTGTGATACTTACAAGTATTTATTCACACACACAATACAAAATGAAAACATCAAAAAGATGTGCTTTCGCCCAACTGAAGAACACCGTAGTCATGTGAGGAGACACATGCCGAACTGAGCCTGCCAATGTGTAGGTTCCTGGGCTCTTCAGACATACGAGAATCTCTGAGGGTGGCACCCATGAATCTGCATTCTCAACCAGCTGCCCAGTGGTACACAGGGAGGTCTCAGAACCACTGGATTGGCGTTGTCCCAAAGCAGTCAGCCTTAGGAACTTGTGACGTACACACTTACCTCTGCCTTCTCTGCGCTGTGGATTGTCAGGATCTTGGAGGATAAAATCCAGCTCACCAGGTCCCAAGCCTGTTTGTCTGTGTCTCTGGAGGACTGGAGAAGTTCCTTCAGATTGGGTAACCTGCCAGCATCTGCAAGCTGAAAGGAGAAAGAGCCTCCATTAGCAAGGATCCTGGATAAAACGGTAATTGAACGCCCTCTAGTGGTGGTGTTGAAAACTTCACTCCTTCTATCCGGAGGAATTTTATTGAGTAGATCAGTCTCCTTCCTAAATAATACTAAACCCTGAGATCTTTGAATTCTAAAGGGTTTTGTTTTGTCTTATTCACTTGGTACAAAACATGCCCTGAGCTTATGGCAGACTATTAAAACTAATGCAATTAGGTGCAAGAAAGTTACTGTGTTAAGGCTGGAGGTGCAGAAATTCCTGAGTGGGTGGTCCCTACACTGTTCCCCTCCTGAACAAAAGGGGTTGATGCTAATCTTAGTCCTTACTTCCCACTTCCTGCCTCCTCCACTCCTAGCTCCTGTCCAGGAAGGTAGTCTTTTTTACTAAGCATCTACTCAGTGCTAGGTCCTGTCAATTTGGGAGGTGTTAGAGGGTGGAATCTTGGTGAAATGGAGAAGGATGCGAAATAATCCTTATTTAAAGGTATTCACCACCGACTGGTGCTGGTGGTGCACGCCTTTAATCCCAGCACTTGGGAGGCAGAGCCAGGCGGATCTCTGTGAGTTCGAGGCCAGCCTGGGCTACAGAGTGAGTTCCAGGACAGCCAAGGATACACAAACCCTGTCTTGGGAAAAAAAAAATTCACCCTCTGGCTTGTGAGAATGTTCAGCAGGTAAAGGTGCTTGCTGCCAAGCCTGACAACCTGAGTTCCATCCTCCGGACCCACACAATGGAAGGAAAGAACTGACACCCACACTCTGACCTCCACATGTCCACAATAGTGCAACTACATCCCATACACACACACACACACACACACACACACACACACACACTCACACACATACACATACACACACACAAATTAATTAAAATTAACTGTCAGTTGAGTATGGTGGTTTATGCCTGCCATACCCAAAGTGGAGAATCTGAGGCAGGAGGATCAAGAATCAAGACCCTCCTGGGTTAGCTACCTAGTGATTTCAAAATATGCTTGAACTATATGAGACAGACTGAAAAAAAAAAAAGAAATGCTGGGCATGGTGGCTCACGCCTTTAACCCCAGCACTAGGGAGGCAGAGGCAGGTGGATCTTGAGTTCGAGGCCAGCCTGGACTACAGAGCTAGGACTGTTACACAGAGAAACCCTATCTTGAAAAACTAATAATAATGATACTAGGGATGTGGCTGGTGGTAGATTTTTTGCCTAGCACATAAGGCCCTGGGTTTAATCTCCAGTCCTGAAAAGTACTATTCTATAGTCAGGGCTGGACGCACCCCTGTAATCCAGATTCAGGACCCTGAGGCAGGAAGGTGGCTGGGAGTTTGAAGGCAGCTTGAGAAACAACACTACAATCCTGGTATTCAGGAGAAGGAGGGTTAGGCGTTCAGGCCATTCTTAGCTACATACCAAGCTCCAGCCCAGCCCAGAAAGAAAAGGAGAGAGGGAGAAAGGGAAGAAGAGAGGGAGGGAGGAAAACATAAAAGAGTAACGAACCACACTCAATCTCCCGACGCATTTCTGGGCTCATGTTCAGTCTGTCTGTTTGTTTATCTGTTGCGTATTTCTTAACCCAGAACCAGAGCCGGAGCTCAGCCACTTCCTTCCATTCCCCAGCCCTGGTATCTCCTGTCTCACCCGTGTACCACAGCCCTAAACGTGTACCACAGCCCTAGCCACCATCCAGACCTGCGCACCGAGAGCCCCACAGAAGAGCAGTAGTTAGACCTCTTTTAGGGGCTCCCTACCCGCTCCAATCTGGAGCCCGCGCGCGCGCGGCCCCCATCTCCCCTGGGCCCTCCACTGCCATCTGCTGGGAGAGGACCCCTGCTGTGCCCTGCCTTCCCGGGCCTCCATCTGCCCACACCCTCACCCTCTTCGGGCTCCCTTTACTCTTCACATTATTCTGCTCTAATAAAGTGAGAGTCTTCCCTGTCCATACTGCAGAAGGGCCTTTGGAGTGAAGACACAAAAGCAGGCTTACCAGACAAAGTAAATGAGAATGTCAGATGAACACCACCAAAAAGTGAGCTGGGCCTGGTGATACAGGCCTGCATTCAACAGGCAGGAAGACCGAACACACACACACACACACACACACACACACACACACACACACACACACACACACACACACTGGGCCAGCCTGGTCTATATTGGGAGGTTCCGGGACAACCAAGGCTCACTGTAAGAATTTGTCTCAATGAATAAATAACCTATGTGGTATCTGGGGCAGAGTGTCTCACTACCTGGTTCAGGCTGGCCTGTAACTCACTGTGTAGAACAGGCTAGCCTCAAACTTAGAGTCATCTTCCCGCTTCCCGCTCTCAAGCACAAAGATCACAGGTGGGAGCCACCACACCGGCCAGGCAAGCGCTCTACCAACCCAGCGACAGCCCCAGCTAACTCCATAACTCAGTATAGGCGGGCAGTCCTGGTGCACTTTAATCCCAGCACTCTGGAGGCAAAGGCAGGCCGACCTCCTGCTGCCGCTATGGAATGAGATCCGGGACAGCCAAGGCCACACAGAGAAACCCTGTCTCCAAAACAAAACAGTAACTCGTTTTAAAGGCAAGGAAACTGAAGCTTGGAGTCCTAAATGCCTTGCCTGGGGTCATGAAGCTAGCGGCAGGGCAAGAATGCATGAAGCCAGGTAACCTGACTCCAGAGTCTCCCTAACCTTAACATTCCTCTGTCACAGTGGTTCTCAACCTGTGGGTCAAGACCCCTCTGGAGAGATGGACTTTTTCACAGGGTTCACCTAAGACCATCGGAAAAACAGATGTTTACATTGTGATTCATAACAGTAGCAAAATTACAGTTATGAAGTAGCAACGAAAATTAGGAAAGTTGAGAACCACTGCTCTATTATTGAACGAACTTTTAGAGAGAGCCTGTATTTTAGCAAAGGAAGAACTGAGCCAGACTTCGCTACTTGGGACGTTAATCAACCATGCAATCCCTATTCCACCCACCAACTACAACCGAGACACCTACTGGGTGTGCCTAAGGCCCGTCAAGGGCAGCGAGAAAGAGGTATATTCTGTGTAGCATGGGATGGAGCGGGAGACAGGAAACTTCCCTGGGGGCAAGAGATCTCCACCACAGCTCCTGACTGGATGCTTTCACCAGTACCTGGGTGGAAGAGAGTAAGTGTGTGTGTGTGTGTTGGGGGAGACGAAGAGGGAGCTCACTGCGTCGCCGGGAGTGTGTGGAAGTGGAGCACCAGGGGGTGGGGGTGGGGGGTTGTGAGAGGCAGAACAAGCGGACACCCAGAGGACTGAGCAGCCAGGCACCCAAAAGGTGCATCCTGGGCTCAAACACCCCCTGGGATGAAAAAGGGTGACAAATGAGTAAGGGGTGGTCTGGGGGAAGGCCGTGGCACTGGGGATCTCCCACCCCAGCTCCAGGTGGTTCCTCTCACCAAAGCTGTGACATCTGAGACTTCCCTGGTTAAAAAGAAATCAAGGGCAGGAGAGGCGGTTCAGCGGTTAAGAGCACTTCCTGCTCTTGCAGGAGACCTGGGTTCAGTTCCCAGGACCACGGCAGATGGCTTGAACTGCCTGTAATTCCAGCATCAGGGGCCCTGACACTCTCTTCCGGCACCTGTGTGCACACGGCATATACTTATACACACACACACACACACACACACACACACACACACACACACACACACTAAATAAGTAAAATAAATATATTTTTAAAACTGAATAAAGACAGAAGCAAAGAGATCCATCAATCACTTGAGCATAGTGGTAGACCCCTGTAATCCCAGCACTCAGGAAGCGGAGGCAGAGGCTATCCTGGGCTACACAGTGAACTCCTGTCTCAAACAATAAAAAGAAAAGCAATCAGCAAGCTGAGGTTTTTTTTCCTGAATTCCTAATTTCTAGAAAGCAAGAGGACAAACAAATCCTATCAGCTGTGTGTTTGTCCAAGACAGAGTCTCACTGTACAGCCGAGGCGACCTCTAAGGACCCTGTCAGCCTCCCACCAGCTGAGACCGCCTGGCTTTCACAGCCCACACCTCGGCGGCTCTGCTAGGGCCACCAAGGAAAAGATCCAGCTGCAGAGATGGCTGGGGAGGTATGGATGGTGGGCAGAGCTGAGAGCTGTGACCAGGAGACAGAAAGCCTCAATAACCCGCCAAGAGTGAACAGGGAGGAGAGGCCCAGTGACCCAAAAGGAGGCAACCCAGCCTCTGTGCTTTGAGCAAGTGACCGGGGACACTTTACAACTCCCCAGATCACCAGCCCCTGGATCATCGGCCCGGGAATCTGTTTGCAGATGTTACCACAGGTGACATCTGTGCTCATCCCCAGGCAGAACGAGCTACTCAGATGCAGGCGGCAGCTGCTGCTGTCCACAAAAGGCAAAGCAGGGCAAGAACACACCTGGAAAAGGGAACTGACTAGGAAAGTGCCAGAGGTCACAGTGACAGGTGGGGGAGGGGCAGTGCTGGGAAGAGAAGGAACCAAAGGGCACCTGCCTTGGGGACCAAACCATGACATCTGGGACAGTGAGGGGAAGGAAGGACCAAGCTGGCCTGGGGGGGGGGGGGGCCGCTGCCAGGTAAAGGCTGAGAGGTGAATGCTGCAACTCCATATCGGAGTGCCAGGCCTAGCACATGCCTAAGACACGAAGTTCTACATTTACTAAAACGGATTGGGGGTAAATCGCAAGTAGCTGGGGTGGGCACGGTGGCGAACGCCTATCATCCAGTGTTTGGGAGGCTGAGGTGGGAAATTGCCACGAATCCGAGGCCAGCCAGGTTTAGAGTGAAATACTGTTTCAAGACACTAAATCCAGACAGTCCGGGGATGGAGCTCAGTTGGGAGCATTCCAGCCTTGCAAGCTCAGGGTTTGATGCCCAGCACCAAATAAAATCAGGAACACACCAGCAGTGGGGAGGTGGAGGCAGGAAGATAAGAAGTTAAGGATCACCCTCGGCCACATAGGGAGTTCA